CAAGCATTGAATTAGCATCACATAGTAGTTGCAGATAAATTTTTGTTGTTGATTTTTTGAAAAATCTATTTTTTGTTGATATTATATATATATAATTCACTTTTGATGTGAGATAAAAATAAAAAGAGTTAATTTAGTATGTTTTACCATTCATGTATCCTTTTAAGATTAAGAGAGAATTTATCAAAGTGCCATTCGAAACAGTAAAGATCGATCGTTAAAATATTTTACTATTTGAAATAGAGTAGCTAATTCGAACGAGCATAAAATGTTGCTCAGAAACCATCTTTAGAGTGTTGGTTCAGAGATAGAATATTCACCCTTTCATATTGATTTACAAATAGAACTTTGAGTTTAATGAAGATTTTTCAATTGAAACTCGAAAACTATGCACGAAGTAATAAGCTGACTTACATGTATTTTTATTTTTCTATGATCTTATCCGCAGAAGAAGGGTGAATGTGGGTATATTCTGTCTCTTGACTCATACCCAGACTCACAACCAATACACCACACCCAACACTCTTATATTATGGGTGTAACTTTGTCTTTAATTTGTAAATGAAGATAAAGTAAATCTTTATTTTTATTTTATAAATACGCAGATTTACTTTATTTCTTTATCCTTATTCTTTATAAAATAAAAATAAAGATTATCGTTACTTGATTCTTTATTATAAAGATAAATAAAAATAAAGTAGCACTCATATCTTATATACACTATATCGTGGACAAATAAATAACGCTTCTTGTTACCTTTCTTTCATTATTTTAATAAGATTTACTTTCACTCTCACTCTTGGGCTTGATGAGGTTTGCACAGAAAAAGTGTTTGTCGCAAAATGCATTTTTGTATTTGTGCGTTGATAAGCAATACAATATACGTGCGTACATATTATCATAAACCAAACAAGCATTATAGCAGTACGCAGTATACAACGAAATAATTTCGTTAACATTTTCGCTATGGCAAATTGCCAAAATCCATCCACAGACCAAACTCTAGTGTTACGTATCCGTGTTCTATGCATACAACCACCACCTGCCATTGATTCAGCAAAGCTACCTGAACGCTTTTACGATAATCCGTTCACTTGTAGAAGACCATTGTTCGAAGACCGGTTTTCAGATATAAGTGACGAAACCAAGATGGACTCCACTACTGCTTCTCCTAATGTCATCTCAATAACGGATTCGAATGACATTCAGAGTGAAAGAAGATTTACTTCCGACATTGAAGGCGTAAGCTCTTATGGCGTTTGGTTTGAGTATGCGCGTGATCGTAACAAACGCTTGGACAACCTCTGTACGATAGTTGATAATGCAGCAAATGAAATACTTTCTGTTGGAAGAGAACGCGGATATACACTTGACGCGACAAAGATGAGTGCTGGTTTGCTTGAAATGAAGGAAATGGGCGAGCGAGCAGTACTCGAGCATTGCGTTAAACTTTACACACAGGCATCTTTTCTATTTCGCGCCTGTCATCGAGACTTAGGGGACTATTATGCATTAGATGGTAACAAGTTATTTAATTATAGAAAACTGCTTCAAAATTATGTGGACTGTTATGGAAAATCATATACTGGCACAGTTTACCGCGGCGTAACATTGAATGATGAAAAACTTAAATTACATATGACTAGCGACTACTGCACTATGCGGTACTCTAATACATTTTTATCAACCAGTAAATCTCGACAGGTAGCAGAAATGTATGGGAATACTTTAATGATCATCGATATTCAAGACGATAGTGATAACCAAGGACGAGCTGTGGATATATCAGAGATATCGAGTTTTCACGATGAAGAGGAAGTATTGCTTTCACCAGAATATTTGCTTTTCAAAGTAAAACAACCTGAATATGACCCAGGTCTCAAAAAATACATTATATTTTTAACATCAACAATGTCATCCATTTATCGCTCTATTGAAAAACAAAAACAACAACATGATTATTGCAAGACTGAGCGAAAGCAAACGATAGACAGTTTTTGGTATCGACGTTATCCTTTGTTAACGACGAGAGAACATCTTCGAAACTCGAACAATAATTGTACGATCGAGGACGAAGAATTATGAAATATGTTTATTAATGGACTTAAGTTAATTACAAAGTCGCATTACTAACACTTACGAGAGCTACTAATAATATGAAGCAAATATATACACTCTAAAAAATAGGTTTATTAGTAAGCTCTGAAACTTTCGTATTTTTCTACTGAACGATGTTCGCTCTCGTTAACTGAAACTAGTGTCGTAGTTTCCATCTTGAGGGTGGGTGTGTAGGTATGGTGTGGGTTTGTGTGCAAGTGGGCGAGTGGGTGTGAGTGTGTGTGACTATATTGTTTGTTGCATAGTTTACCTTGTATATTAAATAGCTATTCATGATTCCTTTTATCGTCAGTCACTTTGTGGATATTTGCAGATTCGAATGACATTTCAGCAAAATCATCTTTGAAAGGATTCATTTTACGCAATGAGTCAGTACTCTTCTCTGTATTGATTTCTTCTGCTGAGGTGAGTGCAGATGATCCACTTTGTATGTACATTCACACGCACCCACCCACACCCACACTGACACCCACCCACCCACACCCACACTGACACCCACCCACCCACACCCACACACACACACTTACTAATTCATGTCCATACATCACAGATGTTATATTATCAATAGATTAAAAAAAGTTTCTTTTTTCTTTATTCATCAGTTTTATAAAAAAAAGGAAGATGAATTCCATTATAATCATCTCCAATGTAAATAGATATTATCACAAACACGTTTAATTGTATAATTAATAAGTAGTTTTTCATGGTTAATCGTTTCTACTAATGTTTCCATCATTTGATCATCCAGTAATGGAATACGAAAACATAAAGAACAAAGACAATTGTCGATATCTTCCATTTTTATATTTAAAATCTCTTTTAGAAATAGTTCAACTTCCATATCATTAATATTATTAATTTGTAAATAATTCATTCGAGGACAAAGTTTGATAAGAATATCTACTTGTTCAATACCAGTCATATTTTCCAGGTAAACTTTAGTAATTTTATTTGTTTCGGATATGAATAAAAATATGTCTGTCTCTTTTTTAGATAAATTTTGTTCTTTTAATACAAGATCATGAATTTTTAATGTAACAAGGTCAGGTAAGACTTCTATAAGATAAATTAAATGACGAATAGAAGCTTTTCTTTTTGTAAAAATTAAATGATAAATATTTGTTGCAGTTAAAACAGATTTAACAAAGATAATTGGTAGTTTAGGAGATTCATACATAGGAATCTCAGTAAAATTAAGTTGAGCAGATTTCGAAAGTTGAAGAGAAGAATTAATAGTTGGATGTTGAGCGTATTCATACCATCTTTTTCTAAAATGAAAATCGATACAAGTAATATAAATGAGTTAGTTTATAATCTATACTCGTAAGGGCGAATTGAATATGTAATAAATTCAAAATTAACTTTAGTTTCTAATACCCATTTTCGTTCACACCAAAATAATGAACTAAATTGGTTGGATTCTTCCAATTCCAAATGTGTTGGTAATTTTTTACGACCTTCCATATCTTCAGTATAATCGAAATGAAATGTATTTAATTGAGGTAAATATTTTAAAATCAATATTTCCCATCGAGCACTCTCAAGATAATTAACATCTTCCAAAGAAATATCAAGAGATAAAGAGTTTAATTTCAAATTTGTATTTTTAATCAACATTTCTAATCTATCAAATGTTGTATGATATATTTTTATTTTAAGATGTGTTAATTGTGATAATATAGATAATAAATGATTATCAATTTTTGTATTATCATCTTCTTCATCAGTAAAACTCAACCGATGAAGTTGTGGTGTATAGGAAACAATACGATTAAGTTGTTCCAAAGTGCAAGAATGATCAATAACAAGATGTTTAATAGAACTAAATTGTTTATTTGTAATCATTGGAAGTAAAATTGAACTATTAGGTCCATAAAAAAAACTAAGTTTATTAAATTTTAATTTGGGTAAAGTGAATATCAATTGATAAATATTATTTAAATCTTTAAAACCTTTGAATTCCCAAATATAAATAGATAATGAAACTAAACGAGGTAAATGCACTAAACTCTTTAAAAATGAGACAATTGCGTGTGAATCAATGCCGCGAATATTAATTGATTGAAGATTATTTAATGATGAATCAATAATAAATTGCGAGAAAAATGAATCGATATGATTTGTTAACTTTAAATGTAATGAAAATATTTGGTGTTTATTCAAATGTATCATTTGATTTATAAAATTTCTAAATGATTCATCTCTCCTTATTTCAACTGCAGTTTTAAATAAAAGAGATGAAGAATTAATCAATTGTTCAAATCGATCGTTAAGATTTGAAAAAGCTTGATAAATTTCATAACCATTAAGATAATCAAAGATGTCATAAAAACATTCGTTCGATAAAATTTCCATCGATGATATAGACATATTGCTTGATCTAATACAATTAATGAAGAGATAATTCAATGATAATTAATTTATTCAAAATCGATAACAAATAAATAAATGTTCGTTTGTCTTTCTTTCTTAATAGAATCGAATGATTCATTATACGATGAATACATATATAACTAACCAATTGATGACGTTTTATTTTCTTTCTCTTCTTAAAGCAAACCATGTGGATTGTCCAGCAGTGGACCATTGGAGAAGTCGATCGGGAAACTGATGAGATTTCGAGGGATCTTTATAACACAAGTTTAGTTTCATTCAATTAAATATATGTCGTTTGATAGAGTTTACCGAGATATACTATTCCGTAGCTCTCAACGAACTACAGATGTTCGCATTATCAGATGAACCAAAAAATGACTTCATCGTAATCTTCCAACATTAAACTGTCTTTAAAAAGAATCTAAGATCGGAATGACAAAAAAAACTATGAAGAAAAATAAAGCATGTGCATAAACAAGTAATGATAGTATTGATTAAAGAAAAGAAATTATTCATCCTTACAAAAAACTACCTTGTTGATAATTTATTTCTATTTCTTTTCTGTCATATAACTTATTATAATCCTTTGTTGGATTTTTCCTTCTATCTTATTTTTCAATTCATTCTCACGTGAAATATTCCAAGTCAGTTATTACTGTCTTTCTTTTTTATCGCATTACCAAAAATTTATTTCAAAAAGACAAATAAATTGAATGAAACAAATACTGACTCGATGATTACACATTTTTCTCTTTCATTGTCTTTCTTCATCGAAATTTGTCAAGAATAGGAAGAAAAGAGATATAATAATAATAATACAAAGCTACTTTACATTACACAAACGATGACAAAATTAAAAAAAATGGCTCGTAGACGTTGTTTTCAAGAGGAAAAATAAGAACAGAAAAAATATCATATTGACATTTGTTTGTTTTTCTTTCCCTCGTGCTTAGGTGTGATTAATGAATATCTATCAAACGTTTTCCTCGATAATGACATGATATATTTTCAAAGGTATCGAAGAAAAGAATATTATTGTTTCATTTCTTATTTGTAAGATATTCCTAGTGTTTTAATCTACCATAAGACAATCAGCAACAACAAATTCAGCTAAGTATCGTAGATTAGGTGGTTCAGAAATAGAAGGACAAACTCTGCAAAAGTTAAATGATGATATAACGAATTTTTAGAATAAAAATAAAGTGTTACATGTATACAAGATATACTGATATGAGTACTAGCATAACTGATCCAGAGCTTTCGACTTCATCTCTGTGTTTTGCGTAACTTTCAATGAGATCAAGTCAATAAAAAACATACTATCATCGAAAAAATATTATGAGAATCGTTTATATTTTGTATTTGATATTAAAATGAAATCAATTCTCAATTTTTCTACAACCATCTTAGATACCACATCAGTTTTACCAGTGAGATTTTGTCACAATAAAATCTTTTTAGATTTCTTCTATAAATTTATATTCAACGAGATGGCAATGGTAAACAATAAAACACATTGTTTTACATGTAATAAACACAAAATAACATATTCTTGTGAAGGATGTGCAAGAAAATTTTGTTTAATACATTTAACTGAACATCGTCAAATATTAACTAGTGAATTACATCATATTACCGATGAATATAATGAATTTAAACAAAGAATTAATGAACAAAAGCAAAATCCACAAAATGGCTTATTAATAAAACAAATTAATCAATGGGAAATAGAATCAATTGAAATAATTCACCAAAAAGCACAAGAATACAGAGAAATCCTCATTAAATCTTCAGAAATGTTTATTAACGATATTGAAAAGAAATTAAAAGATTTAAATGAACAAATAAAAGAAATTCATCAAGAAAATGAATTTAATGAACTCAACTTAAATTATTTAAGAAATCAACTAACAGAAATTACCGAAGAACTAAATAATTCATCAAATATTTCTATTAAAGAAGATTCACAATCATTTATTAATGAAGTTTCAATTATTTCACCAAAAAGTAAGATCTTAAATAATGATCAAGAAAATAAAAAAATATTAAGAATATTATTAATAGAAATAGAAAAGTTAATTTATTTGTATGCAAGAAAAAACAAACATAGGATATAAAATAAATTTACATTAAAAAAAATGTTCTTTAAATATAAAAACTATCAATAAGTATGAGACAGTTAATTTTAAGAACTTAAAATGAAATATAATTGCATTGAATCTAAGAAATTATTGATTTCCTCTATTTATTTAGAAGACAAATTTTGTCAATGAATATCAATTTAGTTACTTAACAAACTTAGTTTCATTTTCTTATGTCTATTAATAAAGGAAGATATTTTTTCTGATTGAAATGATTTTTTAATAAAAACTAAATGAGATGAATCTACAAAAAAAAATATATTGATAAATTCATAAATAGATTTGTATATTAACATTTTATGATAAATAATGGGTAAATTATATTTGATTTTAATTTACTCAGATTTATCCGATTATTTTAGAAATCTCTTTTCGATTTCTTTTATTAATCGTCTTTTACTATTTTTTTTTTCATTATCCTCTAGAATCAAAACTTAACAAATGGAAACAAAATGCCATCACTGTGGCTGGTGGAAATGGACAAGGGCAAAAACGGAATCAGCTCAAGTCCCCTCACGGAATCTTTATTGATAGGAAGAAACATATTTTCATTACTGATTGTTTCAATCATCGTATTGCTGAATGGGAATGTAATGCAAAAGAAGAACAAATCATGGTAGGTGCAAATAAACAAGGAAATCGAATAAACCAATTAGACCAACCAAAAGATGTGGTTGTTGATCAACAAAATCATTCGATCATTATTGCTGATCGAAATAACAGACGAGTAATTCGATGGATGAATCAAAATCAACAAATTCTCATTCACAATATTGACTGTTCTCGTTTGGCAATGGATAAACATGGATACCTTTATGTTTCCGATTATGTGAAGAATGAAGTAAGACGATGGAAAATGGGTGAATATAACAACGAAGGAATTGTAGTGGCAGGCGGAAATGGAAAAGGTTATCAATTCAATCAACTTAATTCTCCTAGTTTCATCTTTGTTGATGAACATCAGTCTGTTTATGTATCAGATCAAAACAATAGTCGCGTGATGAAATGGAAAAAAGGTGCAAAACAAGGAACAGTTGTGGCTGGAGGAAATGGTCAAGGAAGAGATCTCAATCAGTTGTCTAAACCTGAAGGAGTCATTGTTGATGATTTGGGTCAAATTTATGTGGCAGATTGTTGGAATGATCGAATAATGCGTTGGTGTGAAGGAAAAGAAGAAGGTGAAATTGTTGTTGGTGGAAATGGTGGAGGAAGTCGATCAAATCAATTGAATTGTCCAATGAGTTTATCTTTTGATGATGAAGCAAATCTTTATGTTGCTGATTCAAGAAATCATCGAATTCAAAAATTTGAAATAATTCTGTAAATAAAATTTGATTTTGAAAAGATTTGTAATAAAAACTGAATTCAAAAACAATTTTTCAAAATGTAAACAAATTAATGAACACTTTCATTAATTTTAATACGTTCAACTATGAAAAAATATCTCTTGTTCTCAAAAATAAAATTTATCTGATACAAAAGTTTTATAATCTGAAAATAGATTCATAAAATATGTTCATACATATGATGAACAGTAAAAGCAAAACAAGAGAATTATAGATAAAATAATCATAGTGGAAAATTATTGAATTTTATTCGTAACATCTTAATCTATACTTAATATAATATTTTAGATTGACATTGACAAGGAACAGTTGTACAAATTGATTATCTTCAACATTCGCCATTATTAATATTCGAATGACATCAGAAGTTAATTATAAATTTCATATTAATAAATATCTTGAGGATGTGGGTGTGGGTGTGAGTATTCGTCGGAAAAGAAGTAATATGTACCCATAACTTAGTGACACTCAACAAAGATTGTTATTAACCCATCTTGTGGGTGTAGCTGTGTAGGAATAACATAATGATTACACCCACACCAACCCGCACCCTTCTTTTTTAATTTTAAAGAAGATTTTGATGATATACAAATTCTACAAGATAATGATGTCGATGAAATGGATATATTTGACTTGATCTATTCTAATTATATATATCTAGTCTTAATTTTTAGATGTTATATTGATAAGATTTTATTAGATCAACGTAAAAAAGTGCAAATTCATATTGATTCTTGTTTTATTCGTCAACCTTATCATTTATTTCATGTTTACTGTACAAATCTATCATATAGATTCTACGAGATAAAAGATGAGAAAATTGAGTTAATACAGTACAATATAACTGATCATTCTTTCATTTTATTTTGTATTTGCTATTATATTTAAAATTTAGTTATATATAAAACATTGTGAAGAATAAAGGTTATCTCGAATACATATAGAAAGATTTCTAACGTGTTTTAAAATATCATCACTAGGGGTACACATAGTTCAGTTCTAGTTCAGAACCGTTCACTTTTTCAGAAAACTCAGCTCGCCGAACTGAACTGTCTGAACAGTTCAGTTCAACGAACTGAACTTATTGAAACAGTTCAGCTCACGTGAACTGAACTGTGTAAACAGTTCATTTGAACGAAGTGAACTTATTGAAACACGTCAGTTTACATGTACTAAAGCGTATAAACAACTTTTTAGACAGTTCAGTTCACGTGAGCTGAACTGTTTCAATAAGTTCAGTTTGTTGAACTGAACTGTCTATATAGTTCAGTTCACATAAAGTGAACTGTTTTAATAAGTTCATTTCGGTGAACTGAGCTATGCCATCGGTTCTTTAGTTCATTTGAACGGAGTTCATGAACTGAACTGTGTGTACCCCTAATCATCACATTTTATGTGGTTGTGTAGCTTTTTATCTGGTGGTTCTAATAAATCAATTTGACGTCGATGAGAAATATACTGTTTTTATACAAGCTTTATATAACAGTCTTAGAAAAGTAGTTAAAGAAATCTTTTCAGATAGACTTCGAGACGTCTGCGTTTTCTTTTTCCATGGGTGAAAACCACAGCTCTTTATATTCATCTATTTCTATGTTATTCAAAAAATACTCATTCGCCTTTTTTTCTTTTAAATGACCAGTAGTTATATTTACACTATCCCAAGAACTACACGTTAATATACATCTATGATACTTGTAGTAGATCTCTTATCATAACAAACTCAAAAAAGTAATTTATTGTCTTTTAATATTATTCAATAGTACTCTGTCAAATTTATTGTGCCAATATAACGAACAATAAAAAAAATTCTTATAATTATATTATATTTATCATACTTATCTTCTAGTGCTTTCAAAATAGTCTTTTATTTGAATCATCCTATGGCATAGTCTACCTATCTCTTAGACAACCGAGACAATAATGTCTTAATACCTAAGCTATGATTTTTCGATTTGATCACATTCGCAGCTATACATACATATTACCTAATAAAGAAAAAGAAAATAACTAATTAATTAAATATTTTTATTTAATCGAATATATATTTTCTTTTATTCTATTGAAATTTTTAATTTGTTCATTAAAATATTCGAGAGGATTTGGTCCATCGGTGGTGGATCATACTGTATTTTAAGAGAGCAAATGTATAGAAAACTACTTTCTTTGATTCTTGTTTTTTCTCGTTCTCATATAAATCAATAGGGAGCCTTCTATTTTTCGAGCTTGTGATCAGTGAGTTTGTGCTTGTTTAACTTGTTAGTTATTGTCTTAAACCAGACTTTATATTTTTGGATGATGCATCAAGGATAGAAGATGGCATAAGACTACTACGAAACTGTAAGGATGGTTATGATGTTTCTTGCATAATTTTTATTGTGTATCAAATAGCTATTCATGATTCCTTTTATCGTTAGTCACTTCATTGAGGAAACTTGCAGATTCGAATAACATTCTAGCAAAATCATCTTTGAAAGGATTCATTTTACTCAATGAGTCAGTACTGTCTTCTTCATTGATTTCTTCTGCTGGGATAAGTGGAGATGATCCACTTAGTATGTACATTCACATCCACATCGAGACCCACCCATACCCACACCCATCCTCAAAAAAGTAGAAACGACTATAGCAGTTTCGAGCTCTGTAACTATGAGACTCTACAAGCGTGCTAATCAATTAACGAAAATCAATAGAGAAACACGATACAAGTCAGTACCATCATGGTCAATATTTGGTAAACTGCGCAAAAGAAGCATTCCCATAGCCACCGACATACCACACATGTGACAATAATTACTAACGGCCATCATCGGAAAAGTGTACGTTTTTATCAACGAATTTGTATCATAGTATAGAGCCCATAACCCACCAAGAATAGATATTATTGCTAGAAGATCGACAATTACTTGCAATACGAAACGTTGGTTTGTCTTCACCACGATTTACGTTAAAACGGTGCGACTGGGTGTGGGTTTAGATGAAAGATAGAGAAAAGACACACACACTCACACCCTCAATGGTCATTCTCGATTCAGCAGAAAAAATATGGAGTCTTTCGAGATGATTTTGTGCAACTGAAGGTGAGATAAGACATTTGTTGCTGTTATAGATAAGCTAGAATCAGAATAAAAAAAGAAGTAGAAAATGTGAGTTGCTTTAGTCACATCATCAAACCAGGTGAGTAGTGGTTGACTATTTCATTTCATAGAAATATTTAAAAAGAAAGTGAAGAGAGTTTCGTATTGAGCATCGTGAATCGATTTTACGTTTTTTGCTTTAAATAACTAGCTACTCTAGTAATTGTTACTTTACTCTGAGTTCATACTTTACGAGTCATTAGTTCGTTGAGAAAACTGTTTCGTTTCATGTTTGTTGAGACTTCGATGTTTGAAAAAGGCATTCGCAAGATATAGCGACTACATCATATTCTATGACAAACTAGAAGTACATTTTCCCTTTATTTTCATAATGACTCATCTATTTGTTTCATTCGTTAAAGAAATCGTTGAATCAACAAAATGTCAAGCACTACAAACAATCCTTCTCGCCTAGTTCTCATCACTGGAGCTGGAGGTAAAATCGGAAGCTACTTTGCTGCTCACGCTAACAAAGTAAAGTACACCTTGCGATTAATGGTATGTACACTTGTCATTTCCGTGCAGACAACTAGTTTTGTATTTTTCATTGAAATTTGTTTGTTGCTTTACCTCTTAAATTAGGTACATCCATCTCATCAACCGAAAAATATCGAGCTTCTTGAACCTCACGGCGAAGTTGTTGAAGCTGAACTTGAGGATGTCAAAGCACTGGAGCAGGTTTGCAAGGGAGTACACACAGTACTTCACTTAGCCGCACAGACGAGTGCAGAAGCCACTTGGGATCAGTTGTATGCACCTAATATTCACGGGTACGTTAATTATTGAACGGCAACAAAGACCAAATTTGAAAGATTTGTTTCTTAGAGTGTACAATATATTTTTGGCAGCAAAACGAGCTAGCGTAAAGCGAGTAATCTTTGCCAGCTCACTTCGAGCGGTCTGCGGCAATCCAAAAGGTACTCAAGCTAAAACACACGAATTTCCAAATCCTGGAGATCTCTACGGTAAGTTTCAGATAGGTTCGATGGTGATAAATCTACGGTTTCAACTGATCAAACCATTTGTAACGAAAACCTGTTTTACATTGATTTCTAACCTATCCCTGATAGATCTGAGATCATTCTGAAAAATGTTTTAGTCAGACAAAGCTCTCTCGACATGTACTTGTAGGCGTCGAAAACCTCTGATAATTTTGATGATACCGCTTTTGTTATAGTGTGAACGAATTTCATAATATCGAAAACGTATTCGAATTGTATTTAGAAATATAACAACAACTATGTCTCATTTTCTATTTCCAGGCGTGACGAAATGTTTTGGGGAAGCTTTAGCTAGATATATGGGAGAGCAAGAAGGTGTCTCTGCCATTGCAGTCCGTGTTGGTTCCTTCAAACCGCATTTCGCTGCACAAGATGAGTCTAAACATGGCGCGATGATGGACGCTTGGTTATCAGAACGTGATGCCTGTCAGCTCTTTGAACGATGTATTGACGCTCCGGAAACCATTCGATTTGCCATTGTCCACGGCCTGTCAAACAATACATTCAATTGTATGGACATTCAATCCACGAAAGATCTGTTAGGTTACAAACCGCAAGATAACTTCTTCGAAGAAGCAGAGAAATTCCGATCATTAAAAATTAGTCAAAATATTCTCGGTCACAATGTTCAGTAAGTTGAATAGTGCCTCGTCAATTTTGTCATTCACACTTAATTTTTTCACAAAAAATAATAAGCGTAAAGATTAAACATCTTTTCCTACGTTTTGGTACTATACTACTTTATCCATCAAGTGAATATTGAAGATGAGATTCGGTTTACTTGCTTTTCTTAGAATGAGACTGAGAATATTGTGCTAGACTGATCTAGTGTCTCTAGAGACTAGTATCCCATAATAATCAATCTGACGAAAAGTAACTACTTTTATGATGGTATGTGTTAGGTTATCTGATAAAAATCACAGCAGCTTACTTATCAGAAATACCATGTGATAGAAGTTTGGGATAGTGATTCTCCGAGCATCAGATATCACGTTTTCTATTGACATGTTTTAAAACTAATGAGTCTGAGTCAAGAATAATTTTTCGACGAAGTTATCTGAACTGTTGCGTCATCTTGCGGATGATCATTACGTCGAAACAATGAAATTCACTCATAGAACATTTAGTTATGCTCTACACTAAACATGCCCCTTAATTAGTCGTATTATCTTGTATATAGATCCTATCCTTATGCATGTAACGTATATCGAATTCTATGCTGAATAACGCGTCGAGGTTTTCAGTAATTTTCCAATGCTCAAGAATAACATAATGTTTTTTAAGTTGGTTTACATTTGCTGTCTACGATACACATAGACGAATTTGTATCACACGATCATAATACATATTTATTATGAATTGTCGATAGTTGAACGAAGAATCTCTATAAAGAAAAATGTCGTTCGTATTACATCAAACTACACGAATCGAATATTTTTTGACACTCGAGAAGAAAAGAAAGACCAAAATGTTAGGTGGTGAATTAGATTTCAGTAGCTTAGAAAAACATCGACGAGTTGTTCTACGTTAAACATTTTTCGGATTTCAGGGATCCAAAGCAAAAATCAGCACTACCAGACAATGCATCTGATCCTGGTGAAAGAAAATAAAAAAACAACGAAATATAGTTTTGCTTTTTCTAATCCATTGTTTCATCATCGTCGATCAAATTAACCAACAAGATCAACGAAGAATTTTTTTGCAAAATTTCATTATATTCTACACATATATTATTCTTCTTTTAGAAAAAGTCATAAAATAAAGATTTCTCTCTTAAATTCAGCTTCATCTGGAGGGTGTGGGTGTAGCCGAGAGAAGAGCATAATACCCACACTCTTAAGATCACACATACAGGCGTTTTCAAAAAAATTTGAAAGCTTCTCCCACAGATATCACATTCCATACAAGTGCCCTTCGAATTATTTTATATATTGGTAGTAGATAGTTTATGAAGAGTACTATACAATAAATCAATACCATATTATCCGTATTTACGGGTCCGGTACATCTTGAGAGTATGGGTGTGGGTGTGGCTATAGACAGAACACACCCACACCCACCTTTATTCATTAAAATAAATTCAATTCATTTATCGTAAATCACTTTTATATCTTAATCAGTGCTTTTATTTAAAAACAAATACTTCACTTATTTTCATAAAAAGACTAAATAATGGGACAATTGATAAAATAATCTTCGAGAAGTACATTCTATTGTATTCTATGTCTGCTCCCGACACTTCATACAAATTAATTCATTTTTACCCAAATTTATTTTACATTGTGAAAAAGAGATTGAGGCTTATCCATTGGACTCTACTTGATCGAATTTTATTTGAAAGGATTATTTTTGAATGAGCGTAATCTGAAAGATCTGCATAAAAGCGTCATATTACATTTTTTTGTATATTATAAATTTCTTGTAAACAGCATGTGATTAAGAGCTACAACTTTCACTACTCATAGAACTTTTTATTTTGCATTCACTGGAAAAATTTGAGTCTAATTGTAAGAATCTTTTCCAAATTATAAGCAACATAAGCTTCAAAAGATTACTACTGAGAGCGTGGGTGGCGAGTATAGATACGTTATAAATTTGATATCCACACTCACACCCACCCATCCTGAAGATGGTGAAGAATTAAAACTAAACAAGAGAATTATAGATAAAATAATCATAGTGGAAAATTATTAAATTTTATTCGAAACATCTTAATCTATACTTAACATAATATTTTAGATTGACATCAACAATGAATAGTTGTACAGATCGATTATTTTCGATATATTCACCTTTATCAATATTCGAATGACATGAGAAGTAAATTATAAATTTCATATTAATAAATATATTAATATTGATTATAACAATTTTTCAATATTTAAAAGTTATTCAATTAATTTATTAAATAAATGTAATCATAGATATTCAACCTAAGTAGTAATACACTTAAGAAAATCAATCGATATTGTTTTATTTGTATAGTTTTAATTAAAAAATGAAAATATGTTGACTTATCACAAGAAAGAATATTAACACGTATACGTATATGATTGAATATGGAATAAAAATCTAAATCTATTATAGAAATAAATATTATTTATCATAGAATAGATTTTTTGTTGAAATTCTTCAACATATTTTTCATGATTTAATAAATAAAAAGATATTTTATTGAATTATTAACATTTACAATTGATTAATGATCAATCCTTATTCATTTTATATATGAAATTATTTAACCAGAACATATCGTATAATTTATTCTCTTAAGATCATCATATTCAACTTTAATATCTGGTTTTTTGTTCTTCTATTGTTATTCATATCGATTTATAAGTCTTCATTTTTTTGAATATTAATAATGTTAAGAAATCTCATTTCCATCGAATCTTTCTCATCATATCGATATTGGTATGATTTAAATTTTATTATACAAAAAATCACATATGAATAATAATAATATTATTGTTTCATTAAATTCTCACAGATTCGATTTCTATGTTATATTTTACTTTTGAAAATATTTATTAAATTTTTCAAAGATTGACTTTAGATGATATTTGTATTAAAATAATATTAAAAAAACTGTTTGTTGTATTTTAAAAATATCATTCTGATTTTAATGTAGCACATTGATGTATTAATTAGATTTCAATATGATAAAAATAATGATGAATATATCATATTATTCTTTATTAAATATTGATGATTATTATGATATTTAATCATTGAAAATGTTTTATTTAATCTTATACAAATAAAATAAACCTAATTTTGTATTTCTCATAAAAATATTTTTCATCTAAAATCTACAAAAAGTTTTTTTAAACAAACATTCAGTTTTCACATATATATATAAGATATTATATGAAAGAATGCATTTTAAACAATATACAGTTTTTTCAAAGATGTTTTATATAATGAGAAATAGTTTTATTATGAATCTATACTGAGATATAGAAAAATAAGTTTGAGAATATTCCTTTATATGCAATACTTGCGTTTTTTCATGATTAAATCTTGAGGGTGTGGGTGTGGGTGTGGGTGTGGGTGTCATAGTCTGGTTAAAATAAAATCCATAATACCCACCCTCATTCAAAGATGAGTCGAATCAAATTATATTTTAGAGTTTATTTATTGAAAAGAAACATCCTTGTTCTTCAAAGTAAAAATTCAAAACAGGATAAGTTCATGCGTATAGTGGTGTAACAATACCACCGACACATTTCTCATAATCGCTATTGTAGCATTTATCCGCACAAACGAGAATAGATGGCCAAAGAGTACAAACAACACCTTGGAGACATTTCTGAAAGATTGAATTGTAACATTTCCCATTACAAACAGCATTATCAGTGCTATTGCAGAGAACACCATCAATACAAGTTTGATATAATCTATCATAACATTTTCCATTACACATACCAGGATTAAAACCATTACAAAGAACTCCATCAAAGCATCTCTGAGAATAAACATTATTGAAACATTTCCCGGCACAAATACCAGCATTGCTTCCATTGCAAAGAATTTCATTAAAGCATTTTTGACTGTTTCTATCATAGCATGTTCCTGCGTATATTCCACTATTAGTTCCATTGCAGATCGTACCATTTAAGCACTATGAAACAATTTGCTATAACAGTTTCCTGCACAAGTATCCATATTGAAACCGTTACAGACAGTGCCATTGATACACGTTCGCCCTGGAGTTTTACTAAAACACTTTCCTCCACAAAGAGCAGCATTCATATTGCTACAAATAATTCCATCGATACATGTTTGATAGGGTTTATTGTAACATTCTCCTCCACAAGTCCCAACATTAGTTCCATTACAAATGTGATCTTCGATACATGTTTGGATATAGTTGTCGTAGCACTTTCCTGCACAAACAGCGTTATTATAACCATCACAGATAGTACCATTGATACATGTTTGAGAAGAAGTATTAGTCATACATTTTCCTGCACATATACCAGCATACTGTCCGATGCAAAACATATCACCGAAACACTTTCCATAATCTCTGTTGTAGCATTTTCCAGCACAGATATCTGCATTACTTCCATTGCATAGTTGATCACCGATACATGTATAAACACGTCGATCATAACATTTACCTTGACAAATAATAACATTTACCGTTACAGAGTATTCCGCCGATGCAGCTGTATAGAAGTCGATTGTAACATTTTCCTCCACATTCTACAGAATTTATTGAACCACCATTACAACTTCCATTCGCTGGATATGATTGCAGAAAAAAAGTAATAGCAGTAAATATGAGTATCACTATTGACATTGATCAAATTGTGTTTATAATCAGAAGACAAGATTTTTTTCTAATACGAAATACGGTTGATTAGCATGTGAATATTTATACCAATATAAAACGGAACCAATTGAATAGAATCGTATATATGTACAAAATGTGTCATTATATATACATACTTCAATATTAATGTAACAGAAGCGTTTCATCTTTTCTACAAGCACGAGATTAAAACCATACTGTATTTGCGATGCAATGACGTCGTATAAATACACACTATTTTTTTCTTTCTAAAATAATAATGACGTGTATGTGTATTTTGAATTTATTTATTTGATTAATGACAAGAAGTATATGAAATAAATAAAGTATATTCTTGAGAGTGAGGGTGTGGGTGTCAATTGTAAAACAGACCAACTTTTATATCCAAAGTGTAAATCAGCCTACTAATCTTAACTTTTGCTTTCGACATTTTTACTTTCGGCGTTATTAGAGGGAATCTTGAAGATTTTCCTAACGAACTTGTTATGAAATATTTGAATATGTATATTCTTCATATACACTCTTCGCCCTCAACAAAACCACGAGGACACTCTTTTGAAACTACAAAGAACGATTGCTATTCGTTAAGATGCAATAAAATTTCAACATTTAACTGCTACGAAGATCAGATTAAGAATTGTTTTTATCATGCACACCAACTCTTCAAGGTATTTTATATACGATTCAGCGTATTTCGATCTTTTTCTATAAAATTGTATAAGTTTATCAATCAAAACATACAGAACCAATAAATTCGTAAAGGATTTTTTAAAGAACATATAAAAGCCAAAAGACGAACAACAGTTGTGTATAATAAACTTATCGAACAATAAAAGTATAAATCATAAACGATTACCTGCACTCACTCACAACAATCGGCCTGCAATAAATGGTAAACCAGCAAGCAAACGGTGAATCCATGTCTTTTCGTTCATCTAAAGTTTCTCCATCAACGGAAAGTAAAATATGCCGCTGCCATACACATCTCTACTTGATAATATTATATTCTAGGGCAACAACGACAATCAAGTCGATTGCATTATGCCGAATCATCGTGGACAAGATGGATACAAATACCGTTGTTTTTATGGGTAACACCTATTCTCTGCTTGGCTAATAAACGTACGCTTGTCGACGATGATCTTAATGATCTCTCTATGAAAGATCAATGTTCCATCATATTGAATAGAGTAAATCAGTATAGTTCTAAATGGCCAGGTACATGGAATGTATTCAATCGAATATTTTTTAAAGATTTTTTGTCAAGTATGCTGTTTGTTTTACCGCTTAGTATATCTCGTATTGCACAGCCATTGCTTGTTCGTCAGATTATTCTCTACATTAAAGATGAATCAGGATTACCTGCTTATTCTGGTTATCTATATTCTATTGCTCTTTGCATTGCTGTAATTGTGCAAGCAAGTGGTCAACGCCAGATTATTTTTCGAAATACACGTGTAGGCATGCGAATCTCCAATGCATTATCATCTACTATTTATAAACATTTGTTAACCATAAATACTGCAGCTCTTCACAAGACTACTGCGGCTCAGACAATTAATTTAGTGGCGAATGATGCTAATAAATTTGCAGAATTAAGTATGTTCATGCATGTTTTATTGACAGTACCTCTGGAAGCTTTTTCAACGTTTGGTCTTGTTTGGTGGACCATTGGTTTACCGACATTATTCGGCTATGCAGTGCTGCTTTTATTAATACCCATTCAGTTCATATTCAGTAAAAAATTTGGCCGCTACAGAAAGGCCACAATGGCATGTACAGACAAACGTGTACAAGCAATCAATGAACTTGTCAACGGATGTCAAATTATAAAAATGTACAATTGGGAAAAAGCTATGGAGCAACGGGTACTTGAAACACGCCAACAAGAACTTTCGAATGTTCGCAAAGCGAGCAGCTTAAGAGCTTTCAATGTTGCTATGTCATTTATGTCGATACCTTTGGTTTCTCTTGCTACATTCGGTGGTATGTGGTTAATGGGTCAACGTTTGTCTCCAGAAAATATATTCTCAACACTATCTTTCTTCACAATGGTTCGAGCTCCATTAACCGTTACAATGCCAGGCTCCATTGAAAAACTCAGTGAAGCTCGTGTTTCTGCAAGACGAATCGATCAATTTATGCAACTAGATGTATTGATGAATAAATGTGAAAAAGTGAAAAATGAAAATGAGGAGCACGCAATTATAATGGAAAATGCATCATTTTCTTGGAAAGATACTCCTTCTCTGTTTTCTCTCAATCTCAAAATTAGAAATGGTAACTTGATTGGAGTGAAAGGTAGCATCGGTGCTGACAAATCAACACTATTAGCTGCTATTCTCGGTGAGATCAATCTTGTTAGTGGAAAATTACAAGTACATGCTCAGTCGATTTCATATGCTCCACAATCCGCATGGATATTTGCTGATACTCTTCGAGCTAATATTCTACTGGGTAAACCAATTGATGAAGAACGTTACAATAATGTAATAAAAGCATGTTGTCTTGATATTGATCTACAGAATTTTGGTGAAGTTGGTGATTTATTGATGATTGGCGACAAAGGAGTTAATTTAAGTGGAGGACAAAAAGCTCGAATATCGCTTGCTCGTGCACTTTATGCTGATGCTGACCTATATTTACTCGATGATCCACTTGCTGCTGTTGATCCTAAAGTGGCTAAAAGTATTTTTGATCAATGCATCGGCCCATATAGTCTTCTTCGTGGAAAAACTAGAATATTAGTTACACATCAGACACACTTATTAATTGAAACAGATCAAATGTTTTACTTAGACAATGGGCACATAGAAGAATTACATATTGAACAACAAACGACAATCAAACCATCGAACGAAAAATCAGAAGCAGATGTATCTGACACCAAGGAAACCGATTGGAAACTTGACCCTTCCGCAGCTGATATGAATTCTATCGTAAAGAATGAGACATCGGTTAGTGGTTCCATCAAGTGGAATATATGGTTAAAATTGTTTACTGCACCTCCATCACGTTGGTTTGGCTTTTTGCTTATGATTATTTTAATGTTTGGTAATGAAGCTTTGTATGATTTTACAAATCGTTGGCTTGCTGTATGGTCGGGTAAAGATGAAAACGAACAACGATCTTCATTTTATGCTTATATCTATCTTGGAGGTGTACTTTGTACATTCATTGTTACTTTAATACGTGCCGCCTATATCATTTATATTATGTTGTGTGGTTCGACCTATTTTCATAATCAAATGCTCAAAGGTATCTTGTATACATCGTTACGTTTCTTTGAAAAAAATCCAAGTGGACGAATCTTGAATCGAGCAAGTAAAGATCAACAAGTAGTAGATGAATCATTACCTCTGGCTTTAATTGATACTATGCAATATCTACTACAAACTTTAGGTTCTATTATAATCATTGGAATGGCCAACCCATGGGTACTTCTAATTCTGATTCCATTAGCTCCCGCAGTTTTGTGGCTTCGTCGATTTTATATGCGTTCGAGTCGTCAACTCAAACGACTAGAAAGTGTAACACGTAGTCCTATTTATACATTGTTCGCAACGTCATTAGATGGACTCACTAGTATTCGTGCATTTCAAGTTCAAAATGATTTTTTAGAGAAGTTCATCGAAAGAATTGATGCAAATTCACGAGCTTCCTTCATTCTCTCTGCCACTTCGCATTGGTTTGGTTTACGACTCGATTTTATGGTATCCTTACTCACTTTGGCTACTTGTATTCTTTCCGTAGCATTGCGTCATCAAATCACACCATCGATAGCAGCACTTAGTATAAGCTATTGCATTACTTTAACAGGTCTCTTTCAGTGGGCTATACGACAATCAGCTGAAGCTGAAAATTTCATGACTAGTGCAGAACGTATTCATGAATATGGTCAACTAATATCAGAAAGTCAAGAGAACACTACTGACAATAATGTTCTCATTCAACCTGACAACGATTGGCCTTCTCGTGGTATTATCGAATTTAAAGATTATACTTTTCGCTATCGACCAGAGCTCGATCCTGTACTTAAAAATCTTAATTTACGAATTGAATCCAAGGAAAAAATTGGAATTATTGGTCGAACAGGTATGATTCCTTCATTTTAATAGATATAAGAATTATAATAATATCATCCATTGCTGAGATCGTTTTTTATGAACAGTGTTCTCTCCTTAGAATATGGAATGCTGGAATATGCATTAATAGTTATCTTTATTAGTATCTGCTTTTATTCGTTTAGGTGCCGGAAAGTCATCACTTCTTCAAGCTCTCTTTCGACTTGTCAGTCAATCAGCAGTTAATGGAACTATTCTTATCGATGGCATCGATATAGGACGTTTGTCACTCGATTATCTTCGTTCTCATATAAGTGTTATTCCACAAGTACCCATACTTTTTTGTGGTACTCTTCGATACAATATTGATCCATTCAAACAATTCACAGATGAAGAATGTCTTACAGCACTTGAAGCTGTTCAGCTCAAATCATTGGTGCGCAACCATCCAGATGGATTCCATATGTTGGTAGCTGAATCTGGTACAAATTTGAGTGCTGGTGAACGGCAATTGATTTGTGTAGCTCGAGCAATTCTGAAGAGGAGTCACATATTATTAATTGATGAAGCTACTGCAAATGTAGACTATGCAACCGATAAAATGATTCAGGAAGTCATTGCTGACAAATTTCGTGATCGTACCATATTAACTATTGCACATCGATTAAACACAATAGTTAATAGTGATCGAATTCTCATGTTACAACAGGGAGAGGTTGCCTATTTTGATGTACCTAGTAATCTTAATCTAATGTAATGTGATCGTGAAAAAAAATGTTCATATGACAGCGAAATAAAATTGATGATTCTTTTATCTAAGATCTTAAAAGTAGCGAAGATTAAATATTCGACAGAACGTGAATACTTTGCAATTGGCGGAAAATATCTTTCACAAATATATTTAAGTAAACGTCGTATATATTTGATAATTTCTTGGATTTTCTATGTGATTGTTTCGTCAAGAAAAACGAAGACGAAATCCTTCTTGCATAAGTGATTATTCTGAACGCTGTGGATTAGGGTATGGATCTGAATATCTAGCATACATGAAAATCTTATCAATACTCAGACGCCCACACACCCTAGATTACAAAATCTTCATTATTTTGTATGAGAGAACAGTAAGTTTTATTTGTTGAAACAAGGTAATGCTTGCATGGTTTTAGATTTTTATCGCAGTCAGCAAAGTATCTTTTGTCAATGAAAAGATCATTGTTAATGGTATTTAAAAAAAATAATCGTGATTTATTATTACCAGCAAAAATTATTAACAAAAGAAAATCATATTCCGCCTCGTTTGTTTGACTGTAAATATGCATTGCAAAATCATATTTTAGAATAAATTATTTTTAAAAGAGAAAATAACTAAAAGTCATAAAGGAGGAAACATGTTTTCATCAACAAGTAGATGGAAATGCTTTTCTACTTAATTATGGAACAGAAGCTGCAATTTACATTTTCTTTATCAATTTAAGGAAAAAAAAGGAAACTGATTTTTTTTCATCATTTACTGTAGATAATAGTTAGTCAGTAGGAGGTAAAGCATAAGCTTAACAAAAAATAATATTTTTTAATTCTTTACAAACGCTTTTTATCGTTTGTTAAATAGTGCTACACTAGAAAATATCTCTCCTTTTTCTCGTCGCTACTTGTTTTTTTTACCCATATATATTTTCTGTTTGTTGCTGTCTAGCATTTGGACAAGTCTCAACGGACATGTATGGCTTATTCTTTTGATGGTCTTTAATGCGATATACGGTATTGTATACAGGCGACAATGCACTTTTCAATGTAGAAATACGATTTTTACAAAATATGCTGCATGCTGATTTTCGTTCGACCGCTACGCAACAATTTCAACTACTGGCTATACTTTGTCAATCAAGTATTCAAGAAACTGAAGATGGTCTTGATTTGTTTTTTCATACTGAAATTATTAGTGGCAAACTAATGAATAAAGATTTTCTTTTAGCTGAAGCTCCCTCTCGTATTAGCGCACTCAAGAGGAATGCACTTGATGCATTTGATTATAAACTAATGTTTATTCGTGAGATGATTGCAGGCAATGTTCTCTTATCATCAACGGCAACTATTTTCCAATTTAACTTTCAGTATTATGCTGGCGGATCCGGACTTACTTGGGGGAGTGCCGCTGGTGATGTTACTTTTTTTCAATCGGACAAGTCTTCTTGTATTTGTAGGGAACAGTTTACATGTTCTACACCTGCACTATTCTTAGATAATAGTAATAATTCGTCTGCTTATTTTTATATTATCGATGGATGGTATATTGGATGTCGACCAATTGATTCACTTCTTTCATCAACATTAAAATTTTTTTATAATCAAACAATGATTAATTCATTGTTACAAGTTTTTAATAATACATCATCAAATTTCACATGTTTAGATGCAAACAAAGAAAGTATATTTGATTTGAATACTACTTTATCAACTATTATTAAATCAGGTTTTATTGAAAAATGGATTGAAAATATAAATTATTCATTATATTTTAATTATTGTGCACCAAAATTGTGTTTCTATACGATCAATAAGCGTTTCAACATTTATTATATTATAACTGCAATTATTAGTGTATACGGTGGTCTTTCTACTGTTCTAAGTCTTATAATTCCAGCTATTGTAAGATCAATAATTCAACATAATGCAGAAACATCTCGCAGAGATTATTCTCTTAGACGATTGAAACAATTAATTATTACTCGGCTTCGACAACTTATTCCTGCTCTTATTGAAATGAATCTTTTCCGTTCATCGACACGTCTTGAGCCTTTAGATATTTATCAACAACGATGGTCAACTCGATTGTACGTTACTTTTTTGTCACTTTCTTTTATCATTATAACAATATACACAGCAGCAACAAAAGAAACAGTTCATATAGAGTTAATTGAACCTTCGCTCGATGAAGTCTTAAATCTTCAGCAACAAACTAATTTATCATCACTTCAATGTCCATGTTCTCAACTTTCTTCATCGTTTAAATATTCAATTGAATTGATTTCTACCTATCACGAAATATGTGACAGCGACTTCGTATCGGACAAATGGATTCGTCTAATGCCACCTTCACTTATTTATATTCCCTCCTATTTTGAAGAAAGTGGACCTATTTTTAAACTCCTTCAATCATTTTGTAAATTAGCCAAGATAACAATAAATAATGCTCTTAATATATTCTATGCAAGACAATTAGTTACTCCAAATCTAATCACCGAAGATCTCTTCAAATCTCTAATGATTTCTGAAGGCGAATATTTCAAACATGTTACACCTAATCGTTTTTCTTATCTCTTGGAATTCATACGTCAAACAATGAAAGTTAATCAATTTATCTATGCTATATACACAAATTATTATGTATTGATGGAAAATGATACAGGGCATGTGTTAGTTTACATTCATCCTTCTAAAGACTGGTATGATCTTAATAATCATATTGAATGTTCCCTTATCTTAAACCCAGTTTGTATATTAGAAACAACTTTAAATAGCAAGGATATACACGGAGTTGTCCTATTTGTACCTGTATCTGGCTTCTACACATCTGTATTCTATGTTAATTCCTTACTATTAACACAACTCCAATGTTTGTATAATCAATCATGTGTTAACATTATTTGTGATGAAATTCACAGCAACCGTAATTTCACAGCATTATCTCAAACAAGTCGCTTTCCAGATAACGTCACCATTGATTTTCTTTCAAAACATTTGTTTGCTGAGTTTTGGATGCAAAACCCAAATTATATGGGCTATTTTAAACAATGTCAACCTCATTCATGTTCGTACACAACCAATCAACGACGTACTTTCGTTTTACTCATGACAACTGTCATTGGTCTATCTTCTACTGTATCTGTTATTCTTCGATTTATATCACCATTTATTATATCTTTTATTCTTAAACGTTGTCGACGAACACAACAAACAAACTCTTCTGAAGATACTCAACCAGGTAGTAAATATTTTTTTGAAAATCTTTTGACTTGTAAAGCACGAACACATAGATGGACTGTGATTATATCTGCAGGTTTGATTGTAAAAAATCCACGAATATTGAACTTTGATAAGGGATAAAAACGAACTTTTTTGATATCTATCTTTTGTTAGCTGACCAGAATGGATTAAAATATCGACAATTAATGAAATTAAGCAAGACATACATGTATAAACCAACGAGTTTTTTTTTCAAATTTCCGGTGTTTATATCTATGAATATTAATGGGAGGGTGTAGGTATGATGATATGCAATTGATGACACTTCTAATCTATCGCTTTCCCTGTATATAAGAGCTTCCAACGAGGTTTTTATTCCTTCGTAACTTTTCAAAGAACTCTTGTCGAAAATTTCTTTTATGATGCCAATAATAAGTATACACTTGATTGTAGGTCATTTTTCTATTCGAACATTTATCGTTAATATATGCAGAAAATCTCATCAAAAAATTATGACACTGAATATGTTCGAGAATGTTCATAAGCCTAATCCGTCTGATGAAGAATTGAATGCTCAACGAAAATGGACACGTGCATACATCGTCGTATTAATCGTAATAATGGCTAGTGTCAGTTATATTACCATGCTGTCTTATCAAACAGTTACAACCATTGTGTACAAACCAACATTAGATGAATATGCAAATCTACCAAAGTCAGCTGATTGTCTTTGCACCAACCTGTCTATTCCTTATCACACTTTCATTAATTTTAATCCACAATTTTACGAAGTATGCAAAAGCCATTTTATTAAACTAAATGGTGGATGGATGTCATTACTTTATAAGTCGTATACAGATCAACAAGATAATAAACGAAACCTTCGTACATTTCAAGGTATGGCAATATTTCATTTTCAGGCAATACAGGCAATGTGCAGAATGGTTATAATGGCTGTCAACAATGAACTTACACTCTTTCTGAACTCTACTTTAACCACTGTTGAAATACTTGAATCAGATTTATTTGAAAAGAAAATAAATACTACTATCAACAGTTTTTGCTTAAATACGATGCGCTCAAATTTTCTTTATTCGTTACAATGGATTCGAAATATGTACTCTGGAAATGGTCTAATTTCAGCACTTGCTACAAACTGGTATCCAGTGATTGCATTTGAGGCAACTATTGGAACGATCTATATGAAAGCTCAAAAATATAATCTATCATCATGTAATTGTGCGACAATGCCAGGTTGTGTGGAACCGATGTCTCTTGAATTGAACTCAGGATCCAACTGGACAGTGCCAGGAATGATGATTGGTTGTTTACCTCTTGAATCAATGCTTGAGTCAACATTAGAATGTATATATGATCAAGATTGTCTCGATACAATAACTGAAACGTTATTGGCTAAGTCGATACGAGCGCTTTCCTCTACTCAAACTCGCTTTAAACCAATTAACACGACAAAACTTATAACAACTGCTAGTGAACTATTTATCGAAGATTGGGGTGTTAAATTTTCTTACGAAAAGTATTTTGCTAGTTGTCAACCTAAAACTTGCTCGTATGTATCGTCAGAACGATTCCATATTATAACTTCTATGAGTACAATTTTCACCATCTATGGTGGTATCTGTATTTTACTTCGATTTATTATTCCGATTGGATTTAAATTTGCATATAAATGTTTTTCTCGACGAAATAGACAAGTTACAGCAATGGATACTACTTAATCAAGATTTTTATTCCGATAAAATGCATCAAAAACATTTTCTTCAAAATGAAGACAATAACAATAAACCTTTTGTATATTTATTTTCATAGTATTCAATAAATATCTTTGCTTTATTCGAAAAATATGTTTTTTCATTTTTCTATTGAAAGCAGTTTTTGATTCGCACAATTATAAGTTCAGCAAAATATACGATCATTTTATTGAGGTTGGATATGAGTGTATGAGACAGAAAGTTTGAATAAATTGATCAATATAGGACAAAAATAATTCTCCAAAGCTAGATATAATGACATACGTAATTCAGGTCGATTTAAAAAAATCGAAGACAAGTCGAATTATTGATGATAGACAGATATTATCTTGGAGAAATTTCACACCATTGTTTTTTCAGTATATATTAAGAGTTGATTATAAATCTTTAATAATATTCTCTTTTGTTCATGGATAAATGGTTGAAACCACTCAGAGTGCAGTTGTCTGCCATTGCTTAACTAACTCACTCTGATCTCGAATCATTCACTACCGATCAACATTCAGTGGTACGTCATTTCTCAGACTCTACAAAGCTCGTCTTCCTTGATGTTGATTATTGATCAAAAAATTTCAAGAATTAAAAAAATCAAGAAGATAATCTAATAGAATTTTAATGAATTAGATAATTTTACCAGTCTATTTCTGCTTCTTTTCTGTCATATGACTTGATCTTTTGTTGGTTTTTTTCTTTTATTTTGTCTTTCAATTTATTCTCATATGGAATATTTCAATTTAACTAACTGTTTTTTTTGGTCGTATTACGAACATGTATTTCGAAAACACAAGCATATATGAATGAAACAAATAACGATTCAATGTTGGTATATTTCTTTTTCTTTCTTTACCTTTCTTTGTCAAGAATAGGAGGAAAAACAGATACATCAAGTCAGCATATAAAACCACTTTATATTACACAAATCATGATGAGATAAAACAAATCGCTTGTGAAGGTTATTTTGAAGAGAAAAAATATCATATTTATGTTTTTTTTTTCTTTCATTCGTAATTATGTGTGTTTAATCGGTATTTATCTCACGTTTTCTTCGATGATCAGATGATATTTTCAAAGTCATTGAAGAAAAGAATATTATCAGGAGAGTATCATTTTTTCGTTTCTTATTTCTAACATATTAGTGGTATTTTAATCTATCATGAGTCAATTAGCAACGACAAATTCTACGAAAGTTAAATGATGATATAAAGAATTTATGACTAAAAAGAAAGTATTACGTATGATCTTTCTATTATAAGTAGGACTTAGTAAAATTAAGTCAATTTTATAAACATTCATGAGTATGAAGCAATGAGAACTCGCTAAGACCTACACCCTCATCGAAAAAATATCACGAAAATCGTTTGGATTTTTATTTTAAATTAAAATCAAATCGATTTCTTCTATTAGTGAACAACATTTTTATTGTCATTGAATTATTAAATTTATATTTATAAAAGTAGATTATTCATTTCTTCTAGAGATATATATTCAACAACATGACAATGGCAAATAATAAAACAAAATGTTTTATATGTAATAAAGAAAAAATAACATATTCATGTAGAGGATGTTCAAAAGAATTTTGTTTTAAGGATTTAACAGAACATAAACAAATATTAAATGATCAATTAAATAATATTACTAAGGATTTTGACCAATTTAAACAAATAATTAATGAACAAAAAGAAAATCCACAAAATCATTCGTTAATAGAAAAAATCAATCAATGGGAAATAGAATCACTTGAAAAAATTCAACAAAAAGCACAAAATTGGAGAGAAATTGTCCTGGAATGTTCAACAACACTTATTAATGATATTGAAAAGAAATTTAATGACTTAACGGAACAAATAAAGCAAATTCGTAAAGAAAATGACTTCAATGAAATTAATCTAAATTATTTAAGAGAACAATTAGTAGAAATTACACAAAAATTAAATAATCCACCAAATATATCTATTCAACAAAATTCACAGCCGTTTATTAATGATATCTCAATGATTTTATCTAAAAGTAAGTTTTTAAGAAATTATTTCTAACAGGATAATTCTCATTTTCTAAGAATTAACGTTAAAAAACTATCTTCAAAGATTCAAAAGATATGTTTGTCTAATAAAACAAATTGAATTGTTTTCCAATTAAATATTTATCAAGTTGTTTCACAAATAAATTATCTTTCATTAAAAATATTCTTTCTCCTTCAAATTTCGATTCGAAAAACAATAAGTTTTAAATTCTTTTTTTCTTAAAATACAAAACTTCAAATATTTTATGCTCTTTTTCTTTTCATATTTTTCTAGGACCAAAATTCAACAAATGGAAACAAAATGCCATCACCATAGCTGCTGGAAATGGACAAGGACAACAATTAAATCAACTCAGTCGTCCTGCTGGAATCTTTATTGATAAAAATAAAAATATTTTCATTGCTGATTTTTGTAATCATCGTATTGTTGAATGGAAATGCAATGCAAAAAAAGGACAAATCATCGCAGGTGGAATTGGACAAGGAAATCGAATGGATCAATTGAATCATCCAACTGATGTGATTGTTGATCAACAAAATCATTCCATCATGGTTGCTGATCAAGGGAACAGACGAGTGATTCAATGGTTAAATCAAAATCAACAAATTCTCATCCGCAATATTGACTGTCATGGCTTGGCAATGGATAAACATGGATTTCTTTATGTTTCTGATTATGTGAAAAATGAAGTGAGACGATGGAAAATGGGAGAATATAACAATGAAGGAACTATAGTGGCTGGTGGAAATAGAAGAGGAGATCAACCCAATCAATTAAATACTCCTAGTTTTATCTTTGTTGATGAAGATCAATCTATTTATGTATCAGATAGGAAGAATGATCGTGTGACGAAATGGAGAAAGGATGCAAAAGAAGGAATAGTTGTAGCTGGAGGAAATGGTCAAGGTGAGAATCTCAATCAATTGTTTTATCCTCGAGGAGTGATTGTTGATGATTTGGGTCAAATCTATGTAGCAGATCGGAGAAATCAACGAGTAATGCGTTGGTGTGAAGGAAAAGAAGAAGGTGAAATAGTTGTTGGTGGATTTGGCCAAGAAAATCAATTGAATAGTCCTAATTGTTTATCTTTTGATGCTGAAGGAAATCTTTATGTTACTGATCGTTGGAATAATCGAATTCAAAAATTTGAAATAATATTGTGAATGAAGTTTTTTCTTAAATAAAAAATCGAATAAACTCCAAAGAAAAAAATGAAGAAAAGTGTTTTGTTTGTTTTTCTTTAAAAAATTGAATTTAAGTTGAGAATTTTGATTAACAAAGTCTATCATTTCCAATTTCATTTCGTTTGATTTTGAAAAGATTTTCCAAAATGAAAACAAATTAATGAACATTTTCACTGAGATGAAAATAAAATCGATTGCCTACTTTTATCCAACCATCTTATAGATTATATTAGTTTTATTAGTGAGATTTTGTCACAATTAAAATTCAGTCAAATTTCCAATTTGACTAGTCGAAATTGAAATTTCAATTTTGTCTAATATATTCTCAGTCCAAATTGAAATTTCAATTTCGACTAGTCAAATTTGAAAATTGATTGAATTTTAATTTTGACTACAACATTTATAAAAGCAGATAAGAATATATTCATTTCTTATAGAAATTTATATTCAACAACATGGGAATGGCAAAGAACAAAAAACTATGCTTTAAATGTGATGAAGAAAAAATAACATATAATTGTGAAGGATGTGCAAAAAAATTTTGTTTAATGGATTTAAATGAACATCGTCAAGTATTAACTAGTGAATTACATCAAATCACCAATGAATATAATGAATTTAAACAAAGAATTAATGAACAAAAACGAAATCCACATAATCATTCCTTAATAAATCAGATTAATCAATGGGAAATAGAATCAATTGAAATAATTCACCAAAAAGCACAAGAATACAGAGAAATCCTCATTAAATCTTCAGAAACATGTATTAATGATATTGAAATGAAATTTAAAAATTTAAATGAACAAATAAAACAAATTCATCAAGAAAATGAATTTAATGAAATTGATCTAAATTATTTAAGAAATCAATTAATAGAAATTACAGAAGAACTAAATAATCCATTAAAGATTCCTATTAAAGAAGATTTACAATCCTTTATTGATGCAATTCCAATTATTTCATCAAAAAGTAAGCTTTTAAAATATAATTTCTAGAAGAATAATTCTCATTTTCTATAAAATTATTTTAAACCACTATAATACAAAGAAAAATAATGATAAAGAAAATAAAATTTATTTGTATGTAAAGAAAATGAATAATGAGATATGAAAGAATATTTAAGAAAGATTTTATTCTATTTAAAATATATTTGATAAGAAATATTTTTCTAAATATTCATATTAAAAGTTTCAATTAAAATAAATAATAATATCAAACAGATTGTCTTTTTTATATAATATATAGAATATTAAGAACTAATCCAAAGTTTTCGTTTCCTCTTCGATAAAAAAGAAAATTTTCTTCTTCTTTTCGTTAAAATCTTTTTTTCATCATTTTCTAGAATCAAAAGTCAATAAATGGAAACAGAATGCCATTACTGTAGCTGGTGGAAATGGGATAGGGCAAGCATTATATCAACTCACTTGGTCTAAAGGAATCTTTATTGATAAAAATAAAAATGTTTTTATTGCTGATATTGGAAATCATCGTATTGTTACATGGAAACACAATGCAAAAGAAGGACATATCATTGCAGGCGGAAATAAACAAGGATATCGAATGGATCAATTGAATTTTCCAACTGATGTGATTGTTGATCAACAAAGTCATGCGATTATCATTGCTGATCAAGACAACAGACGAGTGATTCAATGGTTAAATCAAACTCAAAAAATTCTTATTAAGAATATTGACTGTCATGGCTTGGCAATGGACAAACATGGATTTCTTTATGTTTCGGATCATAATAAGAATGTAGTCAGACGATGGAAAATGGGAAAATATAACAACAAAGGAATTGTAGTCGCAGGTGGAAATGGCAGAGGAAATCAACTCAATCAACTCAATGGTCCTACTTTTATCTTTGTTGATAAAGATCAATCTATTTATGTATCAGATAGGAACAATGATCGTGTGATAAAATGGAGAAAAGATGCAAAAGAAGGAAGAATTGTGGCTGGAGGAAATGGTAAAGGAGCAAATCTCAATTAATTATCTTCACCTCAAGGAGTAATTGTTGATGATTTTGGTCAAATCTATGTGGCAGAATATTCGAATCATCGAATAATGCGTTGGTGTGAAGGGAAGGAAGAAGGTGAAATTGTTGTTGGTGGAAACGGTGAAGGAAATCAATCAAATCAATTGAATCGTCCCCATGGTTTATCTTTTGATGACGAAGGAAATCTTTATGTTGCTGATTGGTTAAATTATCGAATTCAAAAATTTGCAATACTTTTGTGAACGAAATTCTGATTTTACAAAAAAGAAAAGAAATTTTTTTGTTAAATAAAAAATAAAGTTATATTGTTGAAAATGAATGAAAAAAGTTGAATAGAATTTGACGAAAAAAGAAATGTATTGATAAGAAAAGAACCAGAAAAAATCTTTTTAGTTGTTTTTCCTTTAGAATTGAATTTAACTTGATAATTTTGACTAAAAAATTCGAATAAATAAATGTTAAATAGTTCATCTTTTATTGACTTTTATCAAATTTTACACCAGAAAAGAGGAGAAAATATTTTATAACTTGAATTGAATTGAATTTTGTTAAACAGAAGAAAATGCTGAAAAGATTTTTCTTTAATTATTTAACAAATTTTTATTTGTTTGGTATTTTTCTTCACTTGAAATGTTTTATCATAGTTCTTTTTCAAATCATATGTATAGTAGGAACAAAAGACAGGAAATATCAAATATTATTCTTTTACAAAGTAGTCACAAGAATTTATTTGATGAAAAAGAAATTCTAATTTATATCGAGATAATTACAACACATCACAAGTTTGAAAATTCAATTCTTTGAAATAGTTTCATGTAGGTAAGTTATAAGTTATTTGAAATGACATGAAAGATACGCATTGAGAATATCACAGGACGACCATTTCGTCTAAAAAAAAATTTGTATATAAGTGTTTTTTTTAATTTAAAATTGTCGTGAGTTCTGTTATACATTCGATGCTAGACTCTTCGAGATTGTTTTGAAAACTATAGATAAGCAATGACAAAAGTCAATATTCGAATCTAAATCGATGTATTGAGTTTGAAATTTTTACTAGAAATGTTTTTCATTAAAAATATTTATTTGAAAAATTTTCAGTTCAAATGAACACTTTTATTTAAATTTTAGTTATATAACATATAAAAAATTTAATAAGAACATAGACATCACGTATATATCAGATATTCTCAATTGCGAACATTATTCCGCATTTTAATTGAAAGAAACTCACAAAAGATTTTATTTTTTTGCTATTTTATCTAAAAATATAAATAAATTATAAAATCTAATTCATTTAACAAAAAACAAACGAATTTCTAATCTTATAATTGATTATTTTAGGTTTCAATTAATATATACATCATCAATGGGTCGAATACAACTAGCAACGATAACAACAAACTAAATCAGTTCAAGTAAGTTTATTTCATTTTAGATTTTCTTTATAGATTGAGATCTTCTGTTTGAATTGAGAAAATGAGTCTGTTTTCCCTTTTCATCTAAAATTATCATGAAAAATAGTAAAAATCTATACTTTTCTTTGTGTATTTTTGTCTATTCTATTCATAGACTTAATGTGAGTATAGTTATTTAAATATTCTTTCTCTCACATTTTCATCCATATATAACAAACTTGTTGAATATTTTATCCAATTTTTTTCTAAAAAGATGGATAATATCATTTTTTTTCATTCGATTTAAAGGCATCTTTATTTGTATTATGAGATAATTCTCTTTATAACACAATAGATGATATTATGAGGTTTCTATGAATCCATTAATAGATTTTTATGATAAAACTATTGTAGATTTACTAAGAATTACAAATTATAAAAGAACAATGTAATAAAACAATAGACATCCTCATCCGTATTCTTAATTTATTCATTTTGTATAAAATTCTTTTGATCGTTTCCATAAAGGCAAACGATGAAATGAAGATATTTCTGTTTATTTTTAATTTGACTTCAACACGTTTTTTGTATCAACTAAAATCTCTTTAAAGGATGGGTGTGGGTGTGGGTGTCTTTACTCTTAACTAACTCACACCCACACCCTCAAAATTTATTCAGTGTTTATCGGTTACTTTCTCTAAAGATTTTGGTCAGTATTATTCTATGAAAAATAATGATATACGTGGTTTTGAGACAATACTTGACACATTAGAACCATTGAATAAATTAAATTCTTTTTCTCTTTCTACAAACCATGAAAAGTGGGGAAAGAATCATACAAATTTACCATTTAATCAAATTGAATTTTTTATCAATAATTATTGTCCAAATAACAATATTCTTAAAACAGTTACTTTACAATTATATTTCATCAAATTTAACGAAGAATTGTGGTCAACAATTGAACGATATAAAAATATTTACAATCATTTTAATTTCTATGGTTTATTTATAGTAGGAATTGAAATCACTGAAAAAGTACAAAAACTATTGAAGAATACAAATTTTGCTTATCATTTCGAAACAACACAAATATATAATACTATTTATATTCATATTCATTCATTACCGTTTCGTTTCGATAAATTCTATAGTTTTGCATCATGTTCGAAACTTAATCCTTGTGTTTCGTTCTGAAGCGTTCGTCATCTTTACTTTACTGAAACATATGAAGCAGATATAATATCGTTTCAATTATTATCAAAACGTATGTTAAATCTTCTTTCAATCAATTATAACATTTCTATCAATCATTCTTTCTATATGAATGTACCGGAAATTGTTGTTGATGAAGAAATTTTCTATCATGTTCGTTCTCTTCGTTTTGAAATGGGTTGTAGCCATACAACATGTAGTTGTCGAAAAGTTCTTTGTCGTTTACTTAATCAAATGCCATATTTAGAATGTTTAGATACTCCTGAAGTCGAATTTCTTTCTGGATGTCCTTCATTACCACCTATTAAGAGACTTATTCGAAAAGACTGCCATGCTAAATTAGTTAATCTATTGGTAAAACGTTTGCCATATTTGACAACACTCTTACTCAACCATTTAAGTACATATCCAAATGAAATGTCGGAAGTTGTTGGTCCTTTATTCATTAATCTTCCATTGTTCGAATCAATTTCCTTTCCTTCTGGTGGTGGGTGGTGCGGGAATGATCGGACACCTTATAGAAAATATATTCAAGAAGCATTGCAACTCATACAAAATATGAATAATTCTCTCTCAAATATACAACTGAACTGGAAGAATACCCATGTAAAAAAAGTTGTGAAAATCATGATTTTTATGAGAAATCTGATGAGAAGTCGATTTAAATGGCACGATTTTCATAGCTTAGTAATCGATTAAATTGAAAAAATTAATTAAAATCGATTAAGTTGTTATATAAAATCGATTAAAATCAATTATTTTTTCACGAAAAATTAAATATCGTTGGATTTTAATCGATTATTTACAACTTAATCGATTTTAACCGATTTTATACAACAGTTTAATCGATTTTAATTAATTTTTTCAATTTAATCGATTACTAAGCTATGAAAATCGTGCCATTTAAATCGATTTCTCATCAGATTTCTCATAAAAATCATGATTTTCACAACTTTTTTACATGGGTAGAGGAGCAATGTTTTATCGTCGATAATTTGAGAATATATTGATGAAAAAAAATCAATTAAAAGACTATTTTTTTAAATAAGTTCAATTTTCGGATTAATAAACTAACAGTCAAAAAGCAGACTATGCAACATTTTGTTTTGACACAGACACACACATAAACTTTTTTTACATAACCCTTCTTTTACCCGAGTTTATATGCAATATTAAAACAAATAGGCTGCGAATGAGAGTATTGAATGAAAAGGATACACACACATATATACATATATCTACATCCACACTCAACCTTTTCTTCCTGAACTTACAGCAATACATACAATCCTGATTAGAATCATTTTATATTCAAAAACTCACTTGATAAATGCACATTTGAAGAATTCCTATTAACATGTAATTGGCAAAGCACATGAAGCATTTTAATCATCTTTAAAAAATATAAAACATCTATTACAATTAAAGTTCATTTCTTTATTAATTTGTAATTATTATAATTATGTTCTTTAATTGCGTATCAACGAAATTTCGGCAACTGTGTATCATATCATTTTTCTTATACTAGAAGAACTGATGATAAAAAATATTTGTGTTTCAACTTTTATTTTTAGTCATTCCAAAGTCATCAAAATTACGTAAAATTAGATAACTTGAAAATGGTATTATTTCTCAAGATCAGTATCAACCGAAGTTTATTCTTAAATAATTGCCTATTTATTTAGCTTTATTGATAGATTATTGATAGTAACTTTCATTCAGTATTCGATGAGACATTTATTTAAAGATTAAATTAAAATATTTTCCTATTCGTTAACATTTACTTCCTCCCAAACATACACTTATTCGTTTGGCACAGCTGGTCTTTTTCGTATAATGAATGAATCGATAGTAAATATTTCTTTTCTATTACATATTCTATGATTTTCCATTAAAATCTACAATATAATACTTATGTAATTTTACTTTTTAATATTTGAAAATCTTTATTTTGACAAAATAGTTTTTTTCTCTCAATGCGCAGATAGTGAGATTGGAAATTTCTTATGCTCTCAGTGATATGATTCTATACTTTTTTGTTTAATAAATTAAAGATTAATTCTGAACCTAGATTTAAATGTCTTTTACAATAGTAGATAAGATTCTCATTGCATCTATTTCAACGAAAGATATTCTCTTCGTTGAACTAGTTTAAAAGATGAAATGATTTTAGTAGATGTTAAGATAACATGCTTGTTTATGAAAAACAATAATCAAAGGTCTGTATTAACATGCATTTATATGTTTCATTCATAATCATCAGATAGCTCATTGATCTATCTTACCATACAAAATTCCGAAACTTCTAAGTTAAACCAACAATGAATTATATATAGTTTTATTTTTATTTTTCGAAAAGTTGCTCCGACAAATCAGTATTTCCACTAACCTACACAACTTTGTCATCGCAACATTTATCTCATCGGAGAGCTTTTTTTTATAATTCAACATCAATCAAGAAACAAACATATCTAAACTAAAAACAAATCTACTACAAAAGTTCTTCTAGAAAAAAAACAGAAAAAAAGGAGGGTATGGGTGTGAGTGTTGTTCTTATTTTACACTTATATGCTCACATACACCTTCCATCCACACCCACGCCCACCGACATCTACAGCCGCTCCTACCCACACCCAAACCCACCAATATCTACACCAACGCCCAAAACCAAACTCACACCAACACTCGCGCCTATTCACCTTCACCCACGTCCAAAACCAAACTGACAACCTCACTCACCCATAACCATACTCACCCCATTCAGCCACAGCTACACCGACCCACATTCGCCCCATCTAGTCACACCCATCCACACCCACATCCACCCTCATCCCATTCAGTCAGAACCACACCCAACACATTCAGCGACATTCACACCCACCCACACTCTCAGGATTAAATATTCGTGAATTTAATAAAAAAAACCGCAGAAAACGACGCATTACAACTAAAATGACAATGCGACGTTACAAGGCCTTTCTTACATGGAGAAAGAGTTTGATAAGAATATTGACTTTCCTTTTATCATTATAGAATGAGATGAATCTTATATACATCGATATAAGCAAAAAAATCCTTCATCACACATTTTATCAGAGAGGACGACGTTAAATTGCATAGGTGAGTCCGCTTAAAAGCCATTCTAGTAGTAATAGTGTGTTGTAGGTAAAATAAATTAACGCAGACCAAACACTTCGTCAGAAAACATGAACGGGCAGCAGATAGAAGATCTGGGCGGCGATATAACCGCTCATGAAGCTGGCACCTTCAGTCAACAAAATAGAAGTAATTCCGACCATAGCGTAACCATCTGTCCACGATGTCAACATGTGAGAAATGATAGGATAACTTTAGAATTTGGTATTCCACTAACCGATTATACAATGATCATTATTAAAAGGTCAAGACGCTTGCGTAGTCATCCACAGTTACGGTCTAACCATTTACCATCTACTCGTGACCGCTCAAAATCCACTCGTAGTCGTTCTAAGCACATCCAGCAACGCTTAAAATACGTTCGCGACTCTTCCAGATACGTTCGCGACCGATCAAAACATGGCCGCAACCGCGGCCGCTCAAAATCTGCCCGTGTCCGTTCACATTTTACAGACCCTGATTTAACGATAAATCAAACGAGTTCAAACCATTTCTCATCAATTATGAAAAGTCTTACGGTTTTTTCAATTTTGATTCTGGCAATATATTCTATTTATGGATCAATAGATACTTCGCATGCTGACACATGCGATATGAGCAAAGCTGAAAATAGAGATTTCAACCGCTTTCATGGCATTGATACTTTTATGAATCATTTCACAAAAGGTGCTGCCACTGAGTGTGATTATGATTATATATTTAGATCAATATTCCCACAAACGGTTTTAAAATCGGATCATTCAGCAAGTTCATTCATGATATTATCAAAGTCTGGATCTGGGAAGACAGTACTGAGATGTGAATACTACAAATCATTGAGATCCGATACTTATTTCAAAGTATTACTATTGGGCAAACAAATTACTGAATATCTACAAAGATTTGTCAAGCAGAAAGCAACGAGCGGGACGGATTGTGACAAGGAAAGCTGCATCATGAAATGGTCAACAAATGAATTCGGTCAACTACTGCTTTCTACTCTAGTTACACAGTTCATCAACACATTCGACAGTGATCCATTCACTCTTCCAGATATTTCGTTAGATGAGAAAATCGAACTAATCACCATTATGTGTTATTACTACAATGACCAAGGCGTGAGCAAACTGGAAAAACTGGTGAACTCGTTTCTTCAGAAAACTGGTGATTCGATGTATAGGGCAAGTAAAGCTGAAATACAGATTAAAGAACGACACTTTTTTCGAGATAAACCACTTTTAACGTACTTGGAAAATGATTTGAGAAAATTAGGTGCTCTCAGGCAAGATGGTGAAAAGCTTCATTTATTATTGGCCATTGCTGAAGGTGAAGGTTTCCAAACCAAAACATTGGAAACAACTCTGTCCAACAATGTGTTAAATGATTTGAGACTTTTTGCATTGTTTATGAAGAATCATGTTAAAAAAACTGTTGTATTCATTATTGATGGAATTGATGAAAATGAATACTTTTTTCAACAAAACGCGGTTGATAAAGTATCACTAGAATTATTTTACCGTTCTTCGATCTCCCAAGAAGTTGTGTCAGCAACTTCGTCCCAGAACTTTTATTTGTCGTTGTTTTATCCTAAAATAGATGGTATTAACATAGAAGATGCCAGTGTTACAAGTGGTAACTTTCCGATACACACCATCAAGTGGGATACGAAATCATTAATTGATTATGCTGATTATATCTTGCAAGAAATGAACAAAAATGCGTCAGCAAGTCGTTGCAAATCACTGACAGATTTCAAAACACTCGTAAATTATTCTGATAGGAGCAATGCTGAAATCATTAATAAAATTACAACCCCAAGAGCAATTGATTTTTTTATGAAGTACTTGATAACAGAAATGAATCAGTGTGCCGATAATGTTCACAAACTATTTATCGCAACTGCCGATGACGTTGATAACGCTGTTAAGAAATCGATCGAGCATCCCCGTCAAACTTCATAGTATTCATACTATAGGCAAATAAAAAGGATTGAATAAGCAACATTTTTATAGTACTAGAGTAGAATCCTAGTACATTGATTGTGGATTTTTTGCGACGATCTTTATGATTAAAGATTCTTTCTAAACTTTTTTATACCACATAGTTATAATAAAACGTGTTTTCAGCAAGTAGATTCTGAAAGTCTTTACTTTGTAAGTGGTGAATCTAATACAAAACTATGAGACGCCCCAAATGATAGTTCATTAATGACAAAGTGGTTCCATCGATATGGGTTTACTTTCACTCCTGGTGATCACTTAGTCTATTCTTTGATGAGTAAAATTTAATCGGGCAATAAATAATACGAGTGGGCAATAAAAATAATACAGATGAGCAATAATCAAGTTTAGCGATAAAAAATTACAGTTGGGCAATAAATATATTGACTGGGCAATAATTATATTGATTGACCAATAAATATAATAATTCAGCAATAATTAAATTAACTAAACAATAATTTATTTAAACTAAAAATAATATTATATAACAAGGGCAATATGGACTTTTCTCTTTCTTTTGTGCTATACTATATTGTATAGATTACAGGGAAAATACTATATGTGAAATGAAGAGAATGATTCCAATGAATCTCTAGTATACACATATAATCTCCTTTATTTTCTTGCATTTCTTGGTTTTGCCCAACCGTATTCATCTCTTTTTTTTACGGGACTTTCCATAGGCATTTTATGTTAATTTCTAAATTATTTTGAATCTTTCTCTCTCATTTGTTCACTATATATATATATTATCACCACTTGTAAAATAAAAGAGAAATTTATGCTTTATCAGTAGAGGTGTAAGCCGTCGGCTTGGGCGCGCCTCGGCTCTAGCAAAAACGTCAGCTGCCAATCGTCAGCTTCAGCAAAAATCGGCTGATGGCTTACATCTCTATTTTTCGGTGAAATCGATTTACTCATTAACAAATATACCATTTGTACAAATGGCTCTATCACAACACATATCACAGTATATTTCTGATGCTGAAAGCGAAGATGATATGTAACTGGACTCTTCTACTAATAGCAGAAACGTTTAAAAAAGAAGAATATTGATTCCAGTATGTGCATACAATAACAAACTTGCACTTGTCCATCATTTCTGAAAAATTACATCTGTAAGCACCTTATCGGACTGTCTATAAAACTGAAGTATTGTAAAGCTCCTCCAGCGGCAAAAAATGTAGCGATTGGAGTAAAAAGAAAGCGAGGCAGGTCACGTAAAGCTAAAAAACTTTGATCAAATAGTAATTTTTCTGTTATTAAAATAGAAACTTATTAATGCCTCATATATAAATTTATTCTTGCTCAAATATATATTTATTACTGCTGTTTGATCAACTAATTATTGTCCATTTCGCAATATGTAATTGCCGAAAAATAATTTCTTATCGCCCACGAATTATTGCTACTTTGTATTTTTAATTACTGCCCACTTCGATTTTTAAATTGCCCAGATAAATAGTAGCCTTCTTTGATTATGTTTCACGAGAACTCTCTATATCATCATACCAATCATTATGCGTATTTAAAGAATACCTATTACATTTTTTGCACTTAAGCTGATTACATTTCATCAAATGCGTCTTGTCACTTTTTAAAACGAAAAAAACGAGAATAGATTATTCGTTACTGGAGCCATAATTGCTTTCTTTTAGTAAGCTGATGAAAAATTCAGACGGTAGCATTACCTGTCTACGGTCGACAAAATGATTGCCGGTCATATTTTTCATCTAAAAAATCAACAGTACGGTCGCGGGTGTGGGTGGGTGTTAATATGGGCCCGGGTGTTCTCTTTGGATCGACAAGGGACTCACATCCACTCCCACACATACCTACATCCACGTCCACAACCAAATCTACGATCACATCCGCATCCACCCTTAGTCTCACACCCGAGCCCGAAAATACTGATACTATAATTCCTGCGTGGACTATTCGTTATATTACCAAACTGAGAGGTGATAGAGGCATAGCAAACAGTGTGTTGTCTCTGGGAAAATGTTGATAAGAACTTTGTCTTCTTTTTATCTTTGTTGAATCATATAAAAGCAGTAGACACAAATTTTCTTTTTAAAAGCAGTGTCGTTGTATGCCTTATCATTGAAAAAAGAGTGAAGCTCAAAATTTGCATTCATTTGAAAGCTGTAACGCGAACAATATCCAGAAAGCAGACCAATACTTACGGGAGCCAAACACATAAAAAACATGACTGGTTCGCAATTAAGACAGAAAGAGGACAATTCCGAAAATACAGGCGACAATGAAAACCTTCAAGCGTCGATTGAAAGAGTCGAGACTAATACTACAACAAGCGTCGGACCTGATCTTGGCAAGACCGTCCGTCCTCAATCCGAGCCTAATTCTCCACAAGGAGCACCGGTTCGACCACTTGAAAGCAGACCAGCAACAACTGAAAAATCGACAAATAATTTTCGACGAACCGTGCTTATTTGTCTCGCAGTTTTCGTTTCAGCCATCTCCGCCATTTTGATCAGCATTTATCTGAAGTCATCAACTTCTACAGTATGTGATATGAAGAAAGCAGAAAATAGAGATTTCAACAAGTACTATGGGATCGCTAACATGAAAAATCATTTCATAACACCAAGTGCTGATAACTGCGCGGCGAGCATTATATTCAAACCAGCATTACCTCAAGCAATACTGCAACAAGATCATTCAGCAAGCTCATTCTTAACATTGGCACCCTATGGTACTGGGAAAACATTGTTGAGATGTGAATATTACAAATCACTAAGATCAGATGCCTACTTCAAAGTATTGATATTAAATAAAGAGATTGATGGATATCTCGATAGGTTTGTCACAGAGAGAGCAAAGAATGGGGCGGATTGTGACAAGGAAAGCTGCATCATGAAATGGTCAACAAATGAATTCGGTCAACTACTGCTTTCTACTCTAGTTACACAGTTCATCAACACATTCGACAAGGAACCATTCGGTCTTCCGGATATTTCATTAGACGAGAAAATCGAACTAATCACCATTATGTGTTATTACTACAATGACCAAGGTGTGAGCAAGTTAGAAAAACTGGTGAACTCTTTTCTGCAGAAAACTAGCAACTCAATGTACAGTGCAAGTGAGGCAAACGCACAAATTCAAGAGAAAAATGGTCACAAAGATAAACCACTTCTTAGTGAATTCAGAACAGCTTTAAGAAAACTTCATACTCTTAGACAAGATGAGGATAAATTGGTTCTGTTATTAGCAGTTACTGAGGATAAGAACTTTACAATCAAAGCATTAGAAACAACTCGGTCGATTAATGTGTTAAATGATTTGAGACATTTTGCATTGTTTATGAAAAATCATGTTAAAAAAACTGTCGTATTCATTATTGATGGAATTGATGAAAATCGGTTTTTCTTTAAGGACTTGAACGTTAATAAACAATCATTAGAATTGTTTTGTCTTTCTTCTCTATCGCAAGAGATTATTGCAATGGCTATGGCTGATAATTTTTATTTATCAATATTTTATCCTAAAATTGATGGTATTGAGATGGAAAGGGGTATAATTCGAAAGGATAAATTTCCGACGCTTGTTATAAATTGGAATATAAAATCATTAATGAATTATGCTGATTACGTTCTGCAAGAAATGAACAAAAATGTATCAGCAAGTCATTGTAAACTATTCACAAATTTTAAAACACTTGTGAACTATTCTAACACGAAAAATGCTGAAACCATCAATAAAATTACAACACCAAGAGCACTTCATTATTTCATGCGAGACTTAATACCGGAAATGAATCACTGTGCAAATGATGTCCAGGAACCATTTATAGCAACTACTGAAAACGTTGAGACTGCTTATGAAAGCTCAGCTAAATCTGCTTTTAAAGTTCACTATATTAAAGAGTGAAAACGCATGACCAAACTCTATTTATATCGTAGTTTCATGAACATGAAACTGTACTGTATGAACGCAGCTGATTAGTTTTTTATTCACTAACCATTTTTCATCTGACACCAAGAAAAGAATATTCTGCTTGGGTATTTTTTGATAATACGATATCTCTTTTCTGCACAATAAATATGAAACAGATGTACCTTCTAAACTAGGAATTCGGTAAGAGGAAGAATGAAAATGTAGGAACTTTTGGTCTATCGTCAACACCCGTCGTCGGAACAAAAAGACATAATGAAGCAAAGAAAGTTCGAAATTCTTGAAGAGAGTCAGCTAAGATAGAAAAACTCTCTCTGTCTGTTAACTTAATAAATGCCATCCAGAGACATGAATATGAAAATGACGTAAATCCACAATAAAAGGAGAAGTTTATTCGACTATTATACGCACCCTCACACACATAGAATTTTCGATCAATTAGTGTCTTGCGGACC